GCTGGTGTGAGCCCTCAGGCTATCCTCCTGGTGACATGGAAAACTCAAACTTGCCCAGCAAGCAGGTATTCTGGCCCCTATAACAGAATCCCCAGGGGAATCCCAGGACAGTTTGCATTTCAGCCAGGGCTCACTAATGGGACCTGGGAGGAGGCCCCAGAGAGACCCCTCTCAGCTCACTCTCCTTGCACCTTTACGCCCCTGAGCTGGGGACCGTCTCCAGGGATGTCACTTTGATGGAGTCAGACCTGGGAACATCCTTGCCCCAGGTGCTTGGACAAGCTGATTCCCTCTTCCTCACCGCATACCCCTCACTTGCCTGGATTTAGACCCCTCTGTGTAAGGCAGAGTTCCCAAAGAGCCCCAGTTCCCATGCCAAGAGGAGGTGCAGTCACACATCACATGGACAAGTGGGGAGTTGCCTAGTTTCCCACAGGGGTCGCCTCTGGGCACCGGAGCTCCTGCCTCAGGGGGCAGCAGTATCTGGAGGAGAGGCCGGACATGGAGAAAATGTTGGGGGCAGTTTCTGCAGGGGAGGGGGCTCCAGGGGTGAGTCCCTGTGCACCTGTCAGCTTCAGGGAATGGGTGTGAATGGTTTCTGTCCCTGATACCTGCTCTTTCTCTCTTCTCATTCCTGCCCCATTTTGCCTCTTTCCTCACTGGGCCCAGCCCTGGAGCAGAAGCAGTTTCCTGATTTTACCTTGTGTTTGTTGGGAAATGGTCATGCCCGTCTCTGGGCCAACTTGGGATGAGAGATGAGTTCCCATGGCTTGTCAGAGTTAAAACAAAGGAACAAGAAAAGAGTGGGGGACATAAGAGAGGGGATGCAGAGAGAGACAGACAGAAGTGCACGTGTGCCCTGTCCTATTGTTTGTCCATTTATCAGGATGATGTCAGGTGATGTATGGCACACTGGGCATTGTTTCCTGGCTCAAGATCATGGTCCTGGCCGGGCCCAGTGGCTCATGCCTGTAATACTGGCACTCTGGGAGGCTAAGGTGGGTGGATTGCTTGAGCTCAGGAGTTCGAGACCAGCCTGAGCAAGAGTGAGACCCTGTCTCTACTAAAAATGGAAAAACTGAGGCAAAAGGATCATTTGAGCCCAAGAGTTGGAGATTGCTGTGAGCTAATATACCACACCATACTACCCAGGATACCAGCTTGAGACTCTGTCTCAAAAAAAAAAAAATCATGTCCCAAAGTGTTTCTAAGAATTTGTTCAGGACTTGGAGTGCTGAATGGGCTGGTGTGGCCACTCCCTGTGGGCAGTGGGAGGGAGCCAGTGTCACCCACCAGCCTCTGCCACCCTACAGGGACCCTCGGGTTCCTCCATCTACAGACCTCTTACCCATCCTTCAAAACCACAACTGTACCCTTCCTCTAAGCATCCTCCAGACAGGATTGGCAGATGGAGTGTGTTTCTCTGTCCTTCAAAGGCCCTGGTCACCTGTGCATGTCTAGCTGCCACTGAGACAGGCTGGCTTTGAAGGCCAGGACTATACGTCAGTGTCCAGCATGGCTAGCTAAGGTTGGTGACTGTCTGATGAGTATGGGAGGGAGGGAGGGAGGGAGCGAGTGAATGGGGAGGGACTGAGTGACCTAAGAGCCAGAGCTGGGCATCCTTTTTCCTCTTATCCATTCTTTTCATGGGTGAGGAGGTTGAGGCCCAGGGCAGGGCAGGCAGGGTGCCAGAACTGGAGCCCTGACATCCACCTTCCCCATGAGCAGATCCCATAATGTGGCTCCCTCCCTGCTCCATAGGGAAAATGGTCAGTGGCTTTAAGGGGCCAGGTATCCTGACTCAGGCCTTTCCCTCTAGCTAGTCCTGGACTCCCAGGCCCCAGAAGAATCCAGAGCAGCCAGCACTGGCATGGCTGGGGTTTCCAACCGGGACTCTGGCTGGGAGGGAACCTCAACCACCCCACACTGGGCTCTCCACCACACCTGGGTTCAGATTCTGGATTCAGCACGTGGCAGATCTTGAGGAGATGACTTAAGTCTTTGTGGCCAGGCTGTGTCTGTTGTGGGGGAGGAAGGGGTAAAGCTGGCCTGCAGAGGCCTGTAGCTGGGGAGAAAGTTTATCTGGGTCTGTCCAGCATTCAGTTTGGGGATGGGAAGACCAGGTAACCTGGGGAAAGATAGGTCTGGGGGCAATTTCAGGCTGCCTGTGCTGGCACAAAGGGCCTCTGGGATGTCAAGTCAGAGACTTCCAGAGGGCCAAGGACATAGGAGATGCAGCTGAGGGGAGAGACCAGGGTTGTCAGCAGGCATGGGAGGGGCTGAGGCACTGGAAGGAGGTCTGCCCAGGGAGTGGGAACTGAGGAAGAGGGTGCAGGCTCAGCATATGGGAGCGGTAAGCTCGGCTGCACAAGCGTTTACTCCAGATGGGGGAGGACCCTACACTCCCCACCTCCCAATCCTAGAGCATAGTAGGTAGGTTCTACTCAGGAGGGATTCGGGGGAGGAAGTATTCTCAAGGGAGAGGTGGGAAAATGAAGAAGGGGACATTCAGGGGCCCTACCCTCTCCAAATGGCAAAATCTCCCTGTCCTCTGAGACTTGGAGGTCAGCCCCTGCATAGTCCCCTCTGCACAACCCCACCCAGCCCCTGCAGTTCTCTGTCTGTCCCCTATCCTGTCTAGAGACCAGAAAGCAGGAAGGCTCTAGTTCCATAGGATTGGCACAAAGGCAGCTGTGCCCCTCTGGGTCCTTTTTTGCCCTTCTCCATCCTGCTTTGTGCCTAGGAGGCCGGCCAACATGGGCAGTGCCCCTCAGAGGCCCCTGCCCTCTGGCTCAGGTGAGGTCCAGTGCAGTCACCAGCAGTGAGCAGAGGGCAGGAGGACAGAGGCCCACTCCCTCTGGGGGAGTCATCCCTCAGCCGTTGCTCCTGCTGGGGACCCTCACCCATGGTCATTGTTGTCTGGTTCTGAAAACATCACTGCTTTCCTCCCGTCAGCCCCATTAGAGCCAGTCCTGGGTTACCCTCTCTCCTTTGTCCCCCTGATGCCGCCCACACCCCAACAAACATTCTCGATCACCTAGCAAGTCAGCATGCCATCTGTTTCCTGCCAGGGCCCGACCCACACAGGCGTGGATAAAGGTTATAGAGTACAGGATCTTAGAGTTCACTCCATCTGACCTTTGCTTTTCACATAATGGAAAACTGAGGGCCAGAGAGAGTAAGTAACCCATCCAGGGACACCCTGTCCCAGAGTCAGGGCTCATAGTTGCTCTGAAAAGGCTATGAAGAGGCCAAATCTCAATTCACAGTAGTTGGAAGTCTGTCCCTGTCCCCCGCCTGCACTTCCCAGCCGGGTACCCATGATACTTGAAGATTTCCTCCAGGGCAGGACGGATGTGTCTGTTCAGGATAATAAACCCATCAGGGCTATTTGCACCACTCAGAGGCAGGCCATCTGGGACCCAGTCAGCGTCCTCCTCCCCTGACCTTGTGCCCCAGAGGGCGAGGCCCTTCCTCAAGGTATGGGTGTCTCCCAGCCTCTCCTCTGTCCCTCACCTGCCCTCTCCAAACCACCTACCAGCAATATGTTGCTGCTCCTGCTGGGGCACCCTTCCCCTGTCTACCTAGCCTGGGGGTAGACAGGGGAAGGGTGTCTCCCCCTCTGCAGGAAGTCCCCTCTGAAACTCCAGATAGTCCAACTCTTCGATAACCTTCCCTCCTTCCTTCGTGCTGTCCTCCCTCTGCAGTGGTAGGAACCTTGCGACAGAACCTTGCCTCTGCCTTCTTCAGACTTGGCATGGAGCCGTGCTGGTGGTCACTGCTGCGTGCCCTGGATTAGGTTTGCAGCTGGGGTCTGCTCAGGGCTGAGTCTGTGCTGCTCTTAGGAGATGCAGCTTCACATATAAGCTTTTCACATAATGAAAAGCATCCTGCCCCCACCTGCCCACCAGTCTGGGTTGCCCCACCCAGAAGTGTGGAGACATGCGGGGGAAGGTCTAGAACTATAGTCCACAACCCCTGGGCTGAGGACCAGTACTGGTCTGGGGTCTGTTAAGAACCAGGCCGCACAGCAGATGAGCAGCAGGCAAGTGAGCAGTTTCATCTGTATTTACAGCCAGTCCCCTTCACACTCATCACTGCCTGAGCTCCACTTCCTGTCACATCAGCAGCAGAAGCAGATTCTCATAGAAGCATGATCCCTCTTCTGTCAACTGTGCATGTGAGGGATCTAGGTTGTACACTCCTTATGAGAATCTAATGCCTGACGATCTGAGGTGGAGCTGAGCTGATGATGCCAGCACCAGAGAGCAGCTATAAATACAGATTAACATTTGCAGAGGGGTTTGACTGCACAGAGACCATAATAAATCAGTTGTCTTCTATGAAACTGGTCCCTGGTGCCAAAAAGGTTGAGGACCACGGGTTTAGAAGCTGCATCTTTTGTGTACTCCAGAAAGAAACTGGAGGAAGGGGAGGCAGATGCCCAGAGTCCTCTAGCCAGGCAGAGAGGCAGACTGGGGAGAGGGGTCACAGGAGGATGTTTAGATGGGATCGTTGACACGTGCTGAACACATGACCTTTGGGTAAGAAGAGGTTGATTGGGTGGGACAGGTCCATAGTCTTCATAGCTTCACCTTGGTTTAGCTTCACTGCACCTTAGGGGACCAGGGTTACCATTCTCTTTTCACAGACAGGGACACTGAGGCTCACAGTGAGGCTTCTTCTGCCCCAGGTGACGGCTGAGCTGAGATGTTGAGCCTAGCTTGTGGGCCTGCATTCCCTTGAGAGCTGTCCCAGATCTGGGGGCAGTGGCACAAGAAGATTGTCCCAGTGTGTGATGTCCCGCATAGGCAGGAAGGTGTTGGAAACATTTATTTCTAACAGGGACCGACCCAAGCTCTGGGCTAAGGAAGCTTCCCCCACCTTTATCTAGAAACAATCTCTCTCAGGGCTCAGGAAACTTCAGGGCCTGTCCCAGTCCAGGCTGCAGAGTCTGGGCCAGGGAGAGGCTGGAGGACAGATGGTGCCCCCAGAAGCCCTCAGGAGCTCCCTGCAGCCAGAGTGGACTCATGGTGGGTGGTGTATCTGCTCACATTCCCTGTCCCATCCTGGCCCGAGATGGGGGCGCTCCTGCAGCTGTGGAAGCTTGGGTGGGAGGAGAAAGGGAGTCACATGGATGGGGAACGAAGAGCTGGGTGACGGTCTCGCAGACTCAGCATAGGTAAAACTGAGGCTTCACTGGCAGAGTAGAGTTAACCAATGGGAGATCTTGCCAAACCTGCCCCTCCCTTCATGGCTATGATCATGGCCAGGCTCCTACACTCTCTTCCATCCCAGCACCCCCAATCCTTCTAACAGAGACATTGTTCTGTCTCCCCTGACCAAGACCCACCACTGGCTCCTACAGTCAGTAGAACACAGCCCAGGTCCTCAGCTGGGAACCTGGCCCCTCCAGCCTCACCTGGCTGCCTGCAGCCCTCCTGTCCCAGGAGCCCCCACACCTCCCCACCTCCCTGCCTAGCCCTTCCTGAATGCCCCCTTCTCTCCCCTCCTCCCCTAACCATACCTGGGCCCCGCTTTCCCTTTCCTCTAGAAGACCCTTGCACATCCCCTATGCGCTGTGCCCCAGCACCGAACTCTGTCTGGTTCTTGTAGAGATACCTGGCCTGAAAGCAAGGGGTGTCCCTTGCCTGCCCCACATGCAATCCCACATGCCAACACCAGGGGGCGAAGGTACCTGCTTGGATGGAGGATGGGAGTGGGGAGGGAGGAACAGGAAAGGAGGTAATGGCCATGACCCCACCCCCTACCCAGGGGACATCGGTGGGCTCATCCCTGTTCACTCACCAGGTGTATATGAGCACAGTGAGAAGGGCAGTGAGAAGGATGGCGAGGAAGATCGACAGGATGGCAATGATGACAACGGTGCCTGGACTCTGGGGCCCCCTGCCATCCTGGATTGCCTGGGCTGAGAGTGATGCTAGGGGCGCACAGGCAGGTAGAAAAAGAGATTTCATTAGACCCGAAAAGGAGACCCTGCCACACCCAGGCCACCTGAGGATCCAGAATGGTCAAGGTGCCTCTGATTGACAGACCAGCCTGTTCTAGCCCACTCCGGTCCTCAGTCCTCAGGAGCCTCCAGCCCCCCTCCCCCCCATCCCTCCCCTTGGGCCCTGTTCCCACTGTTTGACCTGCACCTCTGGCTCCTACCTTGGAGCAGCTGGATCTTGCTGGACCACTCTGTCTCAGCCACAGGTCCCTTGTCATTCATCACTAAGAACTTCACCCTAAACACAACACCCAACATTGGGAGTGGGGGTCCCCCAGGTTCTGAAAACCACCAGGCCCTGGTGTCTGTGGTCTGTTCCCTCCACTCCTAACAGAAGAAGTTCTAGTCCAGGTGTGATGTTTCCAGTTGTGTGCCTTGGGTGCAGCCCTCACCCTCTATGGGCCTTAGTGCCCTGATTTGGAAAATAGGGGGAGGAGATTAGATCTCACAGCACAGAACACAAGTGAATCAAGTGCCTGGTGAGGGGAGCCAGGGGCTGAGGCCAGTCACTGCCCAGCAGATGCTGTGTCTGGACGGACAGACTCTACCTGAGTGGTCCAGATGGCCATGGGGACCATGGCTTGAGATTGGGGAGGGGAACTTCTGCTCAAGAAAAGTGGGATCATTCAGGTAGGTCACCAGCACCTGTCCCCTCCTCATTCTCCTTTTTTTAGAGCTAGAGTAGGAATCCAGGTGCCCCTGTGAACATCCTGAGAGCTGCCCCAGTCTCAGGTTTGGGTGCAGGCAGAGCCGCTCACCTGTAGGGGCCTGGGCCTGGCAGGGGATAGTTGCAGCCCATAGTTGTTGGGGCACAGTGGGTGTTGTTGCCAACTCGGAGAATACTGAGCTGGCTGCTGGCCTGGCTGCCGGCCCGGCTGCCAGAGTAAAGTGCCCGGTAGGCCATCAGTGTGAGGTAGTAACGACTCCAGGAGAAGTTGGCAGGAGCAGGGCTATCCTCTACCCTCTGTGGGGCCTTAAAGTTTGGGGTGGCTAGGGGTGGCAATACAGTCAGACATGGGGGCCACAAGGGCAGGACCCCATCCCCACCCCACCTCACCAGGCCTGACCCCCCTCCCTAATTGCCCCCCTCACCTGTTGCTCCTCTCAGGCTTGTCTGCCCATTTCATAGAAAGAAAACCCAGGCCCGGCCCCAGTGGCACCCACCATTGCTGTAGGCCACTACCAGGCAGATGATGTCCTTATCTGAGATGTTGGGGCCACTGAATATGCCCTGTGGCTGCTCCAGCGTGAAGGTGGACTGGGTGAGCCGCCCCGCCAGGGTGGCTTCTGAGAGCTGGGGCACATAACTGATGTGCTCTGGGTGGGGAGAAGGGGAAGGACAAAAGGAAGAGGCTGAAGAAGGCAACAAGTCCCGGCAGCTCTGATGCCCTCAGCCCAGTCTGAGGGTGGGAGACACAGACCTCTCTTGGGAGCCTCAGTCTGACCGAAGAGTTAGGGGCACTTCCTGGGAAGTTGGGTCAGGCATTATCAAGATGTCTCCCTGGCAACTTTGTTGCATGGGTGGGTGGCCCTGGCCCTTCTCCTGACTGCTGGGGAAGGCACTATGGGAGGTCTGGGGTCTCTGACTGCTGGGCCGGACCCAAGGAAGGGCAGATGTGGAAGCATGGGAGGCTCTGTGCCAGTGGCAGAACCTTCTCCTGAGCCTTGTTGGGAGGCTGGACTCTGCTCCTGACATGTCCAGGGATTCTGAGCTTGAGTCCCTCCAGCCCCCTGACCTCGGTCAGATTGGTTTGTCTTTTTTGTGTGTGAGACAGAGTTTCACTTTGTTGCCCAGGCTTGAGTGCTATAGCATCAAGCCTAGGTCACGGCAACCTCAAACTCCTGCGGTCAAACGATCCTCCTGCCTCAGCCTCTGAAGTATCTGGTACTACAGGCACCCGCTGCAACACCTGACTGATTTTTCTATTTTTATTTTATTTTATTTATTTTTATTTTTTGAGACAGAGTCTCACTTTATCACCCTTGGTAGAGTGCCATGGCATCGTAGCTCACAGCAACCTCAAACTTTTGGGCTCAAGAGATTCTCTTGCCTCAGCCTCCCAAGTAGCTGAGACTATAGGTACCTGCCACAATGCCTGGCTATTTTTAGAGGCAGGGTCTCGCTCTTGCTCAGGCTGGTCTCAAACCTGTGAGCTCCGGCAATCTGACCCACCTCGGCCTCCCAGAGTGCTAGGATTACAGACCTGAGTCACCGGGCCCGGCCTTAATTTTTCTATTTTTAATAGAAATGGAATCTTGCTCTTGCTCAAAGTAGTCTCAAACTCCTGAGCTCAAGCAAGCCTCTTGCCTCAGCATCTGAGAGTGCTACAATTACAGGCATGAGACACCGCACCCAGCCCAGATTGGTTTGCTTAATGAGAGGCTTGGAAGGGGTTCAAGGGATGATGCAGGAAGGTCTCCTGACTGAGACCCCAGGCTGGATACTATCCAAAGGGGTCTGTGGTCTCTGGGGCCACGTCTTACCCAAGCTCCAAAACATCTTCCTTATCAAAACTGTGTCCTCATTCAGGTCCCCATAACCTTCCTTGGGAAAAGCTACAGGGCAGGGATAAGCAGCCTGGGGCCCTATGCCTGAAGGGACTCAGACCACCCACCTCCTCCTTGACCCCCCTGAGGGAAGGAATAGGCCCACAGTGTCCATCTCTCCCGAATACCCAATACTGGACTCTCTGCTTCAGTTTAGTACAATTCATTCCCATTGATTCAACTCAACTCCAAAGGTTCAGGATAGAACCTTCCTGGGGGAATGGAATGAGACCCTTCAGTCTGAGGGTCCCTGCATGCAGTAGGCCTCTGCACTTAATGTTTAGAAAGAGGAGTGGAGTGGCAGAGATGGAGTCGGGTGCTGCACCTCTCAGCCTGTCTAGTTTAAGAGCAGATGAGGGAACAATGGTGGAGGCCCCATCAGAGCTTCCTGGGCTGACATTGACCTCCAGGACTTCTTTACACCTCTCCTCAGGGAAAGAGGGAAGGGAAGGAGAGCCATGTGTGAGCATTGGGGATGAGAACCCCAAAGGAAGAGAGGCAGCCTTGTGGCCCCCTAGTCTTGAGGAAGAGGTGAGTGTGTCTTGTGGTAGCTTGTGGTGGGCTGTCTCTCCTGACCCACCCAGGATCTGGTCCCCAGCCCTGAGCCAGCACCCATCTGCACTTACCCAGGCCCATCCGGGTCTGGACACAGGTCAGCAGTACCAACAGCGGCATGAGGAGCTGGGACTGTCCCCTTCTGTGCCCCATGGCAAGGCCAAGCACCCAGCCGTCTGTCAGTCTATCCTGTCCAAGGGTCTGTCTGAAGCGTCCACTGCCCTGAAGGTTCCTCTGCCTGTGCTGGATGGGGGAGGCTGCTCCTGGCCCCTCCTGCTGCCCCTCCCAGGTGCCCCCTCCTCCCAAACAACTGGTTGGACAGGTTTGAGGCAGAATCTGCAGGCCCCATGGACTCAGCATCAACCAGGGAGGGTCTGAACAGAACAATCAGTTGCAAGAAGAGCCTAGACACTCCCACCCCTACCCTGGGAAGGCCTGGCCAGGGAGGGGCTGAGAAGGCAGAGGCTGCCCATGACAATCCTGTCACACCCAGCCACCTTGTGGCATCTCTTCATCCAAACAGTCCCCGACCTGGCAACTGGAGCTCCTCGCAGCCCTATGGAGAAGGGAGTTTCCTCCACTTCCTAACATGGACCCGGGGTGGGGGTGGGGGGCTGTCTCAGAACACCCAGGATGCCAGGGCAGAGCTAGAGGTTAGATCATACCCCATGTGTGGCCCTACTGTCCTCAGGTGGCCTGGCCCAGGAGAGGGCTTCTCTACCTCATTTCTTCATCCTGCCCTCCCTCCTTCATCTGCAGCCCTTACCAGGCAGGGCAATCCCTCCTGAAGACAGAAAGTTAACCAGAGGGGCCCAGGACAGCTGAGCAAAGCATGGCAACCACCTTGCATCTGATTGCAGCACCTCCTCAGCCCAGCCTCCACACCAGGACAGAGCCACCTCCCTAAAACTCCAATCACGCCAGGTGTTTTCTCTCTTGAAAACCCAAGATTGTCATCATCCATGGCCCCCATTCTTGGGTGGAGAGGGGACTTCCCCTGAAGAAGACATATCTCAGTTCCCTGGAGATTAAGATGTCCACCCCAACTCACAGAAGAAAACCTTTTGTTTTTTGCGGTTTTTGGCTGAGGGTTGGGTTTTAACCTGCCACCTCTGGCATATGGGGTTGGTGCCTTACTCCTTTGAGCCACAGGTGCCACCTGAAGAAAACCTTTTGGAAGGAACTTCTGTTATAAGCAGAACAGGCTGGAAACCTCAAGTGCAATAAGATAGAAAGAGGTCTGGGCGGTGCTTGTGGCTCAGTGGGTAGGGTGCCAGCCCCATACATCGAGGGTGGTGAGTTCGAACCTGGCCCTGGCCAAACTGCCACAAAAAATAGCCAGGTGTTGTGGCAGGTGACTATAG